AAAAAAAAAAAAAAATGATCGCAGGTAAGTTCGTTGAAGAGAGTAAAATTGTCGAAGATTTGGGTTGGGTTGGGGGGGAGGGGGAGGGGGCGAAAGCGATCGATCGAACCTTTCGGCGGCGCTGTTCGAGCAGGCGGTTTAGGCTGACGACGCCTCGCTAAATTCGTCGCTTTGATCGTCAGGGTCGCAACGGTAAAGGGTCAATTTTCGTCTGGGCGTCAGGGAACGGTGGCAGGGATCACGACAACTGCAACTGCGACGGTTACACGAACAGTATCTGGACGTTGTCCATCAGCAGCGCGACGGAGAACGGCCAGGTGCCTTGGTACAGCGAGGCCTGTTCCTCCACCCTCGCCACCACCTACAGTTCCGGTTCGTCGGGTGAGAAGCAAGTGGTCACCACTGACCTGCATCACCTTTGCACGAGCAGCCACACGGGCACGTCGGCATCGGCGCCGTTGGCCGCTGGCATCTGCGCCCTTGCCCTCGAGGCGAACAAGGAGCTGACCTGGAGGGACATGCAGCACATCGTCGTGAGGACAGCGAAGCCTGCCAACCTCAAGGCCATGGATTGGGTAACGAACGGCGTTGGAAGGAACGGTGAGTCTCTCTCTCTCTCTCTCTCTCGGGAGAGGAGAGGAGCAAAGTTTTGCCATTTCAGTTTTTCTATTCACGAGATTCGACCAATCTTGGTTTAGTGAGTCACAGTTTCGGCTACGGGCTGATGGACGCCGCTGCTATGGTACGGCTGGCCAGAAGATGGCGGACGGTGCCTGAACAGCACAAATGCGAGGTCTCGGCGCCACACATGGGCAGGTTAGTCCAATCGCTCGACTCTTAACGTGTTGTTTCGTCAAGTTGAATCCTCCGGGTAGATGGTAGATCTGCCCTGAGAAAGGCAGGATTTATCGAAAGTGTCGAGTCACCGGAAAGCATTACAACGCGATTTATAAGTCAGTGGATATACTTTTGTGAAATAAATGGCCGTCTGTGAGATCCGACCCGGCGATTCGATCCATCACTATTTCCGCCGTGCCGTACCCGTTCACTTCGCGTTGCCGTGATGACGATAAACCGGCAGCCAGGAAATAGCTTCTGCAACGCGTGTATCCGATTTAGCGCAGGCCGATTTCAAAGGCCGGTTCGGAGAATTTTCATCGACGATGAAAATAACGATCGTTCTTCTCGACCGATCCGCGTGTCGACGAAGAACGGAGAAACATTCGAAAAATAAAAA